GCTAATTGTTTTGAGAAAACATATTTAATATATTTTTTCTTTTTAACTACTCAACCCAGGCAATCATCCCTAATCAGCTCAGCCAGCTCAGCCCAAAGTTTCACTTGGACAAAGCCAGCTGCAAATCAAGCTGCTGCTGTTGTGCTGTCTTTTCAGCTATTCCATAGTGCTCTGGGAAATCTTTATCAGGTATTAAAAGTTTATTTGTAAAACTAAGACTGTATACATAAAGACATCAACAGTTTTTTCACACCTAGCATACATATCACGGATTCTCTCCAAGAATACCTACTAAGAATCCAGCAGACAGAAGGTGGCATAAGGAAAGTAAAGAATAGTGCCAGCACCTTTTACTTAAACCAGGCTCTTGTGATTTTTTTTTTGCCCAACCAACCACAGAAGTTTAGCTTTTAGCCAAGAGTTTGCACATGTACATCAAAGGTGAAGCAGGGATCCCACTCCCCGAAATGTACATACACACGGAAAAATAAATCCTGCAGAACTCCACACCACCCTTCCCCCCAAAAAATATGTTTGTTGTGGGTTTTACTTTAAACAAGAAGGATGTATTTAGAAATGAAGTAAAGATACTCACATGATTCCTTTGGCACCACCAATTGTGACTGTTTCATTCCTTAACCTGCACATTAGAGGAAATATATTACCATCATAGACTTACATCAGTGCAGCAATGCGTATGAACTTCTTTATACAATCAACACTTACAGAGGGCTAAGAAGAATACTCTCATTCTATACACTCAACTTTATTATTACAACAGAAACAGAACAACATTAGAAGACAAAGAAAGGACAATTAAGTCTGCCCAGCGTCTGTGCCGCCTGCTGCACATTTACACTGCATTAGCATGTCATCAGACATTGGGTGTTATTAAACTCCAACAGGTCTATTCACTAAAGTGTGAAGAGTTTGGAGAAGGCAGGAGAAGTGAACAATCTAGGGCACGGGTAGCCAAACTCCGGCCCTCCAGCTGTGGTGAAACTACAAATCCCATGATGCATCTCTCTCCGGGAGTCATGTCTGTGGCTGTGAGACTCTTGTAATGCCTCATGGGATTTGTAGTTGCATGACGTCGTGTGTGCTCATGGGGTCGGGGGACTTTAAAAAATGTTTTTTTATTATTTCCCATTTATTTTATTTAATATTTTTAACTTTACTTTAATTGCTATCACATAGGGGGGCTTACAAGCCCCCCCATGTGATAGCATATTGGCAGTGACAGGTACTCTTTAAGGTGATGCTGGGGGTCCAAAAGACCCCCAGTGCCACCTTTCCACTCTAAATAAACTATTGAAGTGCAGATCGCACTTCAATAGCTTATTGCTGGGCTGCAGGAGCCCAGTACTGACAGCCCAGGGACCGGAAGTGATGCAATACGTGTCGCTCCCAGTCCCATAGAACGGGGAGAAGATCGGTGAACGGACGTTTACAGCTCTCCTCCCCAGCTTCACACCGACACCCGAGATGCCGGTCCCGGGACCGTAGGAGGGGGCAGTGGAGCCCAGGAAATATAGTGGGGTTGGCCACTTTACCAGATCGTAGAAGTGATCTGGCGGCAGCTGAGCAACCAGAATCACTGTCCCGGCGGGTCTGTTTAACACCTTGAGGATTCATGACGGGATTATCCAGTCATGGGTCGGGAAGGGGTTAAGAGTCAGAACCTGGAAGACCAGGATGAAGATGGAAGTGCCAGCGAGAGAGGAGTGCTCAGACATGGCAGCGGAGTGCTCACACATTGGAGAGGATCGCTTTGGCACATATGAATAATGGCCCTAAAATTCCTGCTCTCACTCCGGCGTGCATGGTGAAACCTAATAGACATGTGCGATTTGTTTCGTTCCGAATCGAAATTCGGACGAATTTTCGTAAATTCGGACATTCGGATGTATCCGAATTCCGAATTACAGACATAACGAATGCAAACGAATCCGAATTTCCATTTCCGAAATTCGGTAGCGTTCGCACGAACGTTCGTTTCGTTTTCTGTTCTTATTCGTTTCTTATTCGTTTCGTTCGTTGGAGCAAAGTGACATTAGAGGAGAAAAATATTTTTTCCCCCTCAAATGTCACTTTTGCTGCAAACGAATAAGAAACGAATAAGAAACGAATAAGAAACGAATAAGAACAGAAAACGAAACGAACGTTCGTACTAACGCTACCGAATTTCGTCCGAATCCGAATTCCGAATCCGAATTGACTTTCACACCCGAATCCTGAAAAACGAAATAACACAAATCCGAATTTAAAACGAAACGAATTTTTTGGCAGTGCACATGTCTAATACCTAACATGTGTGCAAAATCATCGTTTTCATAGGCAGGCGCACTACACGCATGCTTCTGTTAGTATGTGCGTGTAAGCAGGGGTAGGGGGGCTTCAAAAAAGTTGGGGGCTGTTTTTACATTTTACTTCATTTTTGAACTTTACTTGCAAGCTAATGGCACCCCAAACACGGCAGGAAAGAGGCACGGTCCCCCCCACCCCCGCGTTTGTGCACAGATACAAGTGACAAACGCTGAATGCATGTCACAGATTTTGCTACATGCACTACTTATCTGCATTTGACGCATGTACAGGAACCCACTGAAATCAATGGGGATGCGCGGCGATTGCGGAAAACAAATGTGCACAAATGCATGTTCCCACTATGCACAAACAATTGCAGAGCGCAACATCACAGTGCGGTTCTGAAAAGTACAAAGAAATAATCAGACTGACAAGAGCAAACCTTGTAGCAGGACACTGAACTAACCGTCTTACAGACTGACGACACACGTTACAAGCCCAGTGCACACTCTTTTATTTAGAGCCACAAACAACTATGTAGTACAAGAGTCTGCCTGATTGGATAGATTAGGTTGGTCCTCACATTACATAGGTTTGGTAAGTCTAAAGCTGCCCATACACCTTACGAATATCGGTCGATTTTCGATTGCGAACGCGTTTTCGTCCGATATTCGTAAGTTTGATGGGCAGTGTACAACCGCAAATACTGTACAATCGATCAATGTTTGTCCTTCCAGCATGCTAGAAAACTTTGGTCGATCGTACCATTTTCGCAAGGTTGGTGGCGTTTCCGTACGCACTGCCCGTGCGCAAACGAAAGTCTGTGCCGTCAATTAACGAAATGCGTCCAGGTGATTTCTGCTAAAGACTGCTAATTAAACTGCAATGGTCGGGGCAGGATGGGGCCGCCATACGGAAATCGTACGACGGTTCGATTATCGGACAGTTGCAAGGTGTATGATAGAGCTGCAACCAACGAATCGATCGATAATGAGAATAGTTGTCAACTATTCTCATTATCGGTTAGTTGGTTGGATCCCCTAGCTCTCTCCTTCACGCTGGGAGGAGGGCACAGCAAGTAGTGGGCGGGTACAATAGCCAGCCCGCTATTGTCTATTGCAATTTGAAATGCCCTATAGCAGGCTGGCTACTGCACCAGCCCACTACCTGCTGTATTTACATTCAGCTGCCGTCTGTGGAATCTTGCCACCAGCTGCTGTCATTCCCTGGCTGAAGCGATTTAAGCGCCGCGTGCTTACAATACAAATATAAAAAAACATGAATTAGAAAAGGTGGGAAAAAAGTAATTTTCGGTTTCGGCCTGACAAATTCTGCTGCGGGAGGTGCAATGGCACCCCAAACGCGCCTCCCACGCACAGTGTGATCGCCCGCACTGGAACACAATGCCATGCGTTCCGTTGCAAAAAAATGTGCAACCTCAGCACTCCAGCTGTGTTGGAACTACAGATCCCATCATGCTCCTGCCTCTGGAAGTCATGCCTATGGCTGTCAAGACTCTTGCAATGCCTCATGGGACTTGTAGTTCTACAACAGCTGGAGGGCCGAGGCTGCCTACCCCTGAAGTATGATAATAGAATTACATTTCACAGGTATGAAAGCAGCAAGCTTTATGACTTGACTCCACATTCCAATGAACTCACGGAACGAGTTTGTAAGATGATCCTTTATGGCCCAGCAGCGTGCACAGTGCGCATTACCATGCAGTCGCATGCATTGTGTTGTAATGACGCATCGCACTGTTCACTTTTTTTGTAACTTTATTGAAATGTTACAAAATGACATTTCATCCATCTGCAGGCACCGCAATGCACTGCGGTATGATGCACCCCAACATGTTGCGCTGAAAAAAAATACTGCAGCGTGTGAACTGAACTAATAGGACATACAGCAAATCACCTTGTCTGTGCTACGGGACTGCATTGGGCAAGGCTGCCCAGCATAGCTCAGTGCACATGGGGTGAATGAGCTCTCCAAGTAGAACTAAAGCCTATTGTATTGCCCATTGTACAATGGAGGGTGATGAAGCCGGTCATCGATGAGATTTCCTTTCACTTCCTGTCCCAAAGCCACAACAGGAAGCGGTCTCCAAAGTGAGGGAAATCCCCCTCTTAGACAGCTATCGCTACAACTAGTGTCCCCATTGGAAGATTTGCCCTCTATTCCTGTTCTGGTGACAACTCAAAATGTATGACTTACTTTCACCAGGATGAATAGAGAGGGTGAATCTCTCCGAGGGACACAAACAAGAGGAATAAGGGTCTGTGGTCATTAGAGGTGGGCACTTCTGGTTAGAGTGTAGCTGAAGAGGGAGTGCTGGAGGCACCAAGGAGCCCCCAGCACTGATGAAGGGGGGATTGATGAGCCCCCGAAACGCGTTGGATTTGCATCTATACAATAACTGAATAGAGTTCACATACTGGACCAAAC